TGGGAAACAAGGGATAAGCACAGACCTAGCAGACAGCAGAGAGGATTGTTTATTCAGTGTTCTTAAGTGTGGTTTTGCTCAGTCTCTGTGGTCTGCACACTATAATGACAGCTCATGCAGTATGACTCTCTTCTGGGTTGCAGGCTGACTTGTACTGGAAATGTCTTATCTCATGCTCTTCCTGCAAGCAGAGGTTGCCAGTGACATCCCTGCCCTTTAACTGGGTGATCTGGCTCTTTTGCTTGCTTCATTTGTGGCCGAGTCAATGCCAGAATCATCCAGGCAAAAACAAACTACGTGTGTTGTAGGAGGTTCTTTGAGTCCACTGGCCAAAATGTGATGACAGATTTAAGGTTAGGAGTTTGAAAGCCTCCCTAATTGTTTATAACATAAAGGGTCCTTTTTAATTAATAATAACTTTAAATAAACCCAAAATGAAAACTCTTGAGAGCTTCAGCTTCTTCCAGCTCCTCAATAAGTGCAGTCAAAAGAAATAAGCAAACTAAACCAGAGTCACTTCGTCTGGAAATGGGAGCCCTCCCCCACGTCAGGGAGTTATGGAGGCAAATTAAGAATACCCTTACATTTGTAATTGGTGTGGGAATAACATGTAGTTCTCTGGGATACAGCAGACCCTGCAGTGGCTTAATGTAATGTCCTGGCTTGCAGGGCAGTAAGAAGACTGTTTTAGAAGGAATCATCAGTTTTTTCAATCAGTTGGATAAGAGACAAAAGGAAGAAGAGAAGGTTCCACAGTAAGTTCATTGTGTGTCATCTCCTTTACTTACTGCCTGGGTATTTGTAGTTACCCTGGTCCAGCCTGGGGCTCCTTCAGTTTGAGCTGTCAAACCTTGTGCAAGTACATCCTCCTTAATACATAAAAAGTTATTTCTGGCATTGGATGTCTTTGTTTTTTCTGATAACTCTTGCAGATCAGAGGACCTTGAGGTAGCCACGACACCCCTAGACCAGCTCCGCCATGTGGAAGGCACTGTTATTCTCCACATTGTTTCTGTTATCAACTTGGATCAGGATCTAGGAGAGGAACTAATCAGGCATGTAAAGGTATGACAGGGATGGAACAGGCACTGTTCTTGAAGGTGTTGAGGCAGGGTTTTTAAAATCAACTTCACTGGTTATCTTTAAAAAGTATTTAATCATTTTTATCATTGCAGCCAGGCTCACATTCGCAAGTGCTGTGATAAGTCTGAAGAGACATGTTTCTTTCTGTACCACAGCAGCAGTGGAATATGGACCTGATAACTTCCCTGAACTTTTGGAATGCTACAGTTGAAGGGAATAAGCTTCCTGACTGTTTCTTGCTGTTTTCTAGACTGAGCAACAGAAGGACCCTGGTAGAGCCCTGTGTCCCTTCAGTGTGGCTCTTTTGCTATCAGTTGCAGTAAAACACAGACTGCAGGAGCAGGTATGTGGGCAATAAGCTTGCAGAGAACTTCCATGGGGATGTACACTGCGCTCTCTGTAAGGGAAAGGAAGCATGGTTAAGTTGTAGTCCTACCAGAATTAGGCTTCAAATGGTTTCAGGATGCTCTTGGGAAGGAAGTTAGATCATTGGTAAGCCATAGTTTACTGAACACTATAAAAGAGCAGCATCAGAATTTTCCAGACTTGTGATTCCCATGGGCTGATATTGTGGGGTGAGAAGAAAAGCCATGTTGTCTTTTTTTTTTTAATGCTTTGGCTCTGTGGTGGCCACCTGAATTGCATCTGGCAGCAAGTTACCCTCCGTGAGGCACTTAATGAGATCAGTGTATTTGTCCTGAGAAAGAAGTGAATTAAGATTTTTGGCAGGTTGTACTGGAGCTTGTGCTCTGGCTGGTGCTCTTACTGGAACATACCCAAGTCTATACAGGTCCCATTTCAAAGATCATTTCCTCACACTCAATGATTTCATGTTCCAGATATTTGATTTCTTGAAAACATCAATCACAAGAAGCTGCAAGGACCTGCAGTTCCTTCAGGCCTCCAAGTTTCTGCAGGATATGTTTCCTCAACAATATGATGTCACTGCTGTAATTCTGGAAGTGGTGAAAAACAGGTGAGTTGTTGCTGCCATGTGCTGCAGAACCCTCAATGCCTTGGGGATGGGGAGAGTTTCAGCCTTGCTAGAATGTTCTGGGATGTTAAATACTGCTGACCAGGTGCTGACAGTGTCAAAATCCAAAGTTTTTAGTCCAGTTTTATGTCAGTGAATTAAAAAAAAAAAAGAGGGGCAACAAAATGCAGCTGTATAAACCTGCTCCTTGTACCTCAAATCGCAGCACCTGGTGGTACAAAGGACTAAGCCCATCAGGACCCTATCTATTTCTATCTGCAGCTGGTGTGAGTCATGCTGCTGGTTGTAGTTCGTGTCCTGATCAAGGGATGAGTAATGGGTTCACTGTTTTCTTGTGTTTTGTCCTTTAAATATCCAGTGGGATAGCTCTGTGATCCATCACCAGTTGTCCTTTAGTTTGATGTGAGGCATTCCACTTCTCTCTTCCTCCCTGACTTAAAGATCTCAGGATCAGCAGGATATTTGTGCATCCTGACTGTAGCTGACTGTAATGTTCAGATCAGACATGAGCACACATCATTCCTTATAGCCAGGAGACCTTTGGAGTGGAAAGGGAGTCTGGTGGTTGGACAACCAGGGCTGCAAGGCATGTTGTGCTGAGCGCCTGTCCTTCAGCCTAAAGCAGTCGTGGGGTTGTGAGGGGTGTCACCTTCCCTGGTGTGATCAAGCATCTCTCACTGCTCCTTTGGACCCTGGAATGACGGCAGATTGTTTACTTCAGACTGCTCTAATCTAAACCTTTTCTGTGACTAAGTTGTTTCTTTCCTGGTCTGTTTAATGTTTTCCTCAGTGCGTTTGGCTGGGACCACGTTACTCAGGGCCTGGTGGACCTTGGCTTCAGCCTGATGGAATCATATGAGCCAAAAAAACCCTTTGGAGGAAAAGCTTCTGATACCAGTTATGGCCTTTCAAAAATACCAGCCCAGCAGGCTTGCAGACTGGGAGCAAGTATCCTGCTGGAAACATTTAAGGTAGTGTATGTTTCAGAGAGGGTTGGGGTTTTTTTGAGGGGAGAGAATTCTGCTCTTATTCTCTCCTGGTAAATGGTGTCAAAACCTTGCCTGCTGTATCCATCATGAGTGTTTTACAAGCAGTGCTATATTTAGTCTCTTATTTGCCCCTGTCCAGCTGGAGAAGCCATCTCATAAAGACCTAATCCTAATCTGTTCCAGCCACCATGATACTTGCATAAGTCCTATTAGTTTCCAGGAAACTGTAGAGAAGGTAGAGAAATTCAGAGGTTCAAAGAAAATCTGACAGGGCTGGGACTGAAATCAGCATCTTCCTTAAAGTGGCAAATTTGCATCCCACAGACCATTTGACCCATTGTGTTCCAAGTGTACTGTGTGTGTCTCCCTAATTGGATGGTGCTAACTGGACTGGGATGAAATCTGAATCAGTCTGAGTGAATGTAGCTGAAAGGGGACTTGTGGCAACCAGTCCTAGCTTACCTGTCAGATCTGGAATTGCTTTGTACTGCACAATGCCTGTGCTCTGAAGGACAGGAATATCTTAAATTGACGCAGGTTTTGATTTTTAGTTATTGTTCTTTCTCATTTCAGGTTCATGAGCCCATCAGAAGTGATATTCTTGAGCAGGTCCTGAACAGAGTCCTCACAAAAGCAGCATCTCCTGTCAGCCACTTCATAGGTAACAAGAAAAGAAAATAATGTGTCCTGCTTTGTGGACACTTGGAACATGTTTGTTCTGCTTCTCAGGATAAGTTCCTGCTGAAGTGACCTGATGCCAAGAACATCAGTTGTTCTTTCCCCTCTTATTGAGATGTCACCTGCATCAGATTACCTTGTATTCATTGCAGGTGAAAAATATGTTTGCAGGCAGTTGCCATGGAACAGCTGACGCACAGAAAGTTGGGGTCTGTCAGTTAGTAACTTGTTACACGTTGCTAGCCTTGCCTTCCTTCTCCTTGGGCAGGTGCTTGGGAGTCACTGGGGCTGCCTAGATGCCTGTGCTGCAGCCTCTTCTCTTGTACCTCAGTGCCCTCTGGTGGGACGCAGCCCTGCAGCCGGGTTGGCTGTTTTACACTTGGTTCCTGCAACAGAGCTCAGATTTTCGATGCTCATCCTGTTATGACCTCTCTGTGTAATGGAAGGAGTTTAATTATTCTGTAACTGTTAGCTCTATAGACATCTTCTACTCAGACTTTTCTGGCCCCTTGGCAGCTCCTTTTGTGATTTTTTTATTTTTCAGACTTGCTGTCCAATATTGTTGTGTCTGCTCCTCTTGTGCTTCAGACTTCATCTTCCAAAGTTACAGAGACCTTTGACAATTTGTCCTTTCTGCCCATCGACACAGTGCAAGGGCTCCTCCGGGCAGTACAGGTAAAGCTTTGCATCTCCCCACGAGCATCCTTGCTAGTTTAGTTCCAGTAACAGCTCTGGGCCACAATTATATGCATGATCTAATAACCCTTCTCACAAAATAAGCCTTCCTGCCCTGCTGTAGGTTGTTCAGTGTAGCATGGAACTGTTCTTCAAGCATGGATTTGCACGTGCCCTCTAGCAAAAAGCATATGGTGTGGTCTGGCACAGAACTGAAAGTGCTCTGTGCTGACCTTTCATCTGGAAGATGCCCAGATGCTGCACTGTGTTTAGCTAAACAGCTGTAGCTGTCAGGTTGATTTTTCTCCTTCCGAGCTCCATGTCAGTGTTTCTCTGCCCTGGCATTAAACTCTTTACCTGCTTCACCCAATTTGGGGATAATGGTTCTTTTCCCAAACCTTTGCGCTGTGTCCTCACTTAACCTGCTACAGTATCTCACTGCTACAGCTCTCTGGGTTTAATTTTATACTGTTTCAAAATGTTTTGGTTCTCCTACTGTACCAATGACAGTATTGGAAATGCAGGGCCAGATGGGCCTGAGGAAGATGAGCTCATATGCCCCACAGGCTTGGCATGCCTTTGTGCTTTTCTCTCCAAAGTGTATTTTCCTTTCCAGCCTCTGCTTAAAGTCAGCATGTCAGTGAGGGACTCCCTGATACTTGTTCTCCAAAAGGCTATCTTTTCCAGGTAAGCTGAGAAGGGAATTATTTGAAAATATTTGTGCAAGTTATTTATGTTTTTTGGAGCAGGAGGGTTTTTTTGTTTATTTTGACTTTAGTGTCTTTTCTACTATATTCTTTCCATAACTAGATGGTGACATTGCTATCCCTTTAGCCTAGGACTGTAATACAGTCACAGCTCTGCTTAACAGAGACAAAATTCCCAACCCCCAGCTAAAAGGGCTTTGGAATTTCAGAAAGCTGTTGGAAACTCCAAATAAGCAGGCAAAATTAAAACCAATTCCAACATGTGTCTACATGGCCGAGTGCATCCAGATGCTAGGGAGATCTGGAAGGATCAGAATGCTGAGCTGCCACCTTTCCTCTGATCCCTTACAAGGTGGTAGAGAAGCAGGTTTGTTGTCTTGGTAGTGCTTTGAGCAAACCATCCTGCTGTCTTCATCATGCTGTGATCATAGACTGCATTTTGTTGGGCATTGGATTCCTGGTTAGTAATACAGAATTGATAATTGAGTATTATTATTATTATTTGAGGCAAGGGACTTCATATTGGGAAAGACCCAGGGTTTTGGTGAGCAAAGCAGAATAGCAGCTTTTCGTGAGGAATTTTCCAACTCTGAGAAGAGCTCTATGAGTCTCTCCCATTCCAGTTTTGAGGGAATATTTAATACTTGAGTCTAGGCCTGAGGCTCTACCTCAGTGTGAGCACAGAAAGGAAATTGAATTTGGTGAGAGTGTAGAGCAAAGGAATTCCCAGCAAATGGCCCGGCTCTTAAATATCTTAGGACTGTGCTGCCTTCTTGGGGAACACAGTTCCACTGAGGCTAGTCACTCTTATTTGTGGACCCTTTTTCATCACTGAGTTCATCTTGTATTTACTTCTGAGCTTCTTGCTTCTGTTTTTCCTTATGCTTCTCTTTTCTTCCCCTGACTCACAGACAGCTGGATGCTCGTAAAGCTGCAGTTGCTGGTTTTTTGCTTCTGTTAAGAAATTTTAAGGTTCTGGGAAGCTTGTCCTCTTCCCAGTGCAGCCAGACCATTGGTGCCACTCAGGTGAGTGCTGTTCTGCAGTCCTTGTTGTGGACACATGACACAGTCTTGTGTCTAATTTGCATGGTTTGAAACTACTCATGAGTGGAGTATTTCCCCAAAATGGAAATAAAACTTTCGTAAGGAATAGTCCTGGAAGGAAAGCTTTGAGAAACACAAAGTGCAAGGAGAAGCTGGAATGTTGCTCCTCAGAGTCATTCTGTCCACAGTGCCAGTGCTCTGGGGAGCTTTCATACTGTTCCGTGAGGATGACAAAGAGCCTGGCAGCACGTGAAGGACTATTTCAGTGGCTTTTCAGGGGCCAGGCCCCTTATCACCTTGTTTCTGTGTTGTGATATTTGAGAACTGTAACCAGTATAACGTGACTAATACTCCCTCTCAGGTCCAGGCAGATGTTCATGCCTGCTATAACTCAGCAGCTAACGAGGCCTTCTGCCTGGAAATCCTGGGCAGCCTGAGGCGCTGTCTGAGCCAACAAGCGGATGTTCGACTCATGTTGTACGAGGTAAACACAGTTTCTTCACTCTCCTTTCAAACAGCCACTAGCTCTTCTATAATCTGGTTCTACTGTAGCCCCAGGTAAATAATGATCATATTATTGTGGAAAACAGCCCATCATCTTGGCTGTGTTCTTCATGGGACATGTGTACCAAGGGCTGTGTATATTTCTTATTTTAATCCTTCTGCTTCTTTTTATTTTGGGCTATTATAAACCCAAAGATACGTTGATGTATCTTCCTCATCTCATCATTACTTAAGAAGAAAAATGCATCAAAATCTCTCTTTCTTTGGTGTGGCCTAGGAAATGGGAAGCCTGTTTAATGTCCAGTGAATGTTTTAGCAGGCATTGAATGGATGCTGAGTTGATGAGAGTTAATGATGGGCTCCAAAGAAAACCCTTACTGGGGAATCCTCCTAGAGACTGCATCAGGGACCTGTCTTTTTTTCTCTTTCCTTTTGCAAGTTTCTGTAAAGGTTTTTCTTTCCCATAGATTTCTTGTGACAAAAGGCCTAATATAAAGAATCATTTCTGGGTGCATATCTTGGCTCCTGAGGTAACCATAGGGTGCCACCTTAGGGGGAACAAACCAAAAACATTCTGGTCAGAGATTTTGTTTCCTTCTTAACTTGGTTGGACTGACCTTTGGTGAGCTGCAAGTTTTGGGTGAATCCATCACTGTTGCTATAAGACTTGTACTTTGCTTTATTCATCCACTGAGTTTTCTCCTTCTGAAGCACTTTTTGCCTCCTACAGTTTCCCACCTCTCTTGTTTTGCCTTTGAAGCAGGATTTCACAGTTTGAAGTTGGATCTAGTGTTAGTGTTAAATAGCAGTGAAAGTCACTCTGGGCATGATGCCACCACTGCTAGGAAGACACAGCTTGTGAGAGGGTCCCTGTGAGGAAATTCATCCTCTTTCTGATTCATACCTTCTCTCTGTGATGCCTTTGCTTTGCCAGATATGGGGTTTTACACTGAGCACACTGCTATTTCCCTGTGGTTCCTTGTGGTGCCAGAGGGTCGTTGTTGTCTTATGACGCCAACTTATTAGGCATGTTGTTCATTTTTTGTTGTGTGAGCCAACTTTGTCCTTCCTTCCTTCTTTCCTGTCTTCAGGGTTTTTATGATGTCCTTCGCAGGAACTCCCAGCTGGCCAGCTCCATAATGGAAACACTCTTGTCCCAGGTAAAGTGCTGCTGTTTGGTGTGGCTGCAGAGACCGTTCAGAATTCTGCACTGCAGCCGGTATAGGAAGCAACTCAGGTTAAATATGGGGAAAATAATTCTCCCACTGCAAACATGTGTAAGTGCTGCAGCACTTCTCTAAGGAGGTGTTCAAATCCCTGCTATGTTGAGAGAGCAGACTAGGTAAATGTCTGGAGCCTGGTTCATATCCTGTCACGGGGGGAAAGTGAGAGGATTTTTCAGAGCCCTTTCCAGCCCTTCCATTCTGAGATGCTGTGGGAAGCGCGATGCCCAGAGAAGTGCTTTGTGTGAGACCTGTTCCTTAGTGCACAGCAGTCACCCTCCCATACTTCCCGAAGGATGTGTACTGACACAGTAGTTATTACTGCTGTCCTCCCATCAGGAGAATACCCAAGTCCATGTAGGATCTGGGAGGATTAACTCATCTCCCAACAGTGTTGCTCGTGGCAACAAGACAATCACATTTCCTCAATCCGTTGGACAGGCTGTGCTTTCTTTGAGACAAGTCATTTTCTTCCCTTTAATTATCCGTAGAGTTCATGCTGACTAATTCCAGCTTTCCCATGACAGTATAAGGTCTGAGAAGGAAACGTGAATAGAGCCAAGGCAGCTTTTGGAAAGAGAGTAGAGGGCACTTAATGGGACCTTGGTGAAAATGTGCAAAATTTTAGAACATCTATATATATATAACCTTTCACTGTTCGGCTCTGATCCTGTATCAGTACTCAGAGCATATCTCCTTCCAGTGTTGTGCCAAACAGCCTGGAATTGATGGTTTGTCATGGTTTTCTTTTAGTGCCAAAGGTAGCCTCCATTACTGCCTGCACCCTCAGGCCAGGAAACTGGATGCCATAACTGGGCCAAGAGCTCCCTATGGGTGACAGGCAGCAGAAGCAGTTACTTTCCCTCACAGTGTAAAGGATGGGTGACACTGCAGGTGAAGTGCAAGTGATGTTGCGTGTTGAGGCGACACAACAAGTGGTCAGATAAACTTGTTTTAGGGCTGAGAGGTACATAAGGAACTCAAGAGGGGATTTCAATCCCTAATGGAGGAGGTGACGTGGCTCACAAACCTGTACAGTCCCATTATTATAATAGTGCCAGTTTTTGCTCTGTAGAATGGAGTCCAAAGATTATCGTATTCTGCTTTCAAACAACCTAAGAGGCTTAGTTACCAAGTAACTGGTTATTTTTATTTCTTGTTTTCTGTTACAGATAAAGCAGTATTATTTGCCCCAGCCAGACCTCCTGCCTCCACTGAAATTTGAGGGATGTATTATGGCTCAAGGAGATCAAATATTTCTGCAAGAACCACTGGTAAGAGCAAGAACCTCTGGCTGGCCACAGCTGCAAACTTGTCTGTTTCATAGCAGTTTAGTTGTGCTGCTACATTAACTGAATGCCTTGTGTTTCCTCAGCCTTTTCCAGCCTGGAGCAATTATTTTAATGACAGTAGATCTGGGCATCTCACCTCTGTCTCAGGTTTTCTGTTAGAGCTCCTATCTCTAGCATAGTGGCTTAGGGGACCTGTGTGAAAAATGCTCTAGGAATAGTGTAGTTATTTTATTTTCTGTTGAGCTAACTTGGGTGATTTTCTTCCTCCTTCAACTTAATTCCACATAAAATAGTTGTGCAGTGTGTGTGTAGCAGGAGGAAGAATCTGCCCTTTTGTTTTGCTCCTTTGAAATTGTTGGAGTTGAGACCTCAATGATTTGTTGGATTTCCAAGAGGACAAATGTAAATTAATCACTTTGTTTTCCCCTGAGGAAGCTTCCATGCTGTGCTGCAGTAGCACACCCAGAAAGGGAGCAGACACTTCACTTAGAGTGACAGCACTTTTGGAAGTTCCCATTCCATCTCCTTCAGCAGCTGAGGTAGCTGAGTTGAGGGAGCAGTGGGAGTTAAGTCCTGTGTAGGCAGGCTCAGGCAGACAACAGTGTCTAAAGCTAGAACTGGTTAGCTGTGTGTAGGATGATGGATCCCCTTATTCTAGGAATGAGGCTTATTCTGGAGACTCGTGTGAACCTCTGAAGGCAGGTAGGGTTCTTTGCACCCAGCTAGAGTAGCCTGGCCTGTGTCCACTTCTGCTGAATGTGTGGCTGCTTCCTGCAGGCCCATCTGCTCTGCTGTATCCAGCACTGTCTTGCTTGGTATAAGAGCACTGTGCAGCTATGCCAAGGAGCTGAAGATGCGGAGGAGGAGGATGTGGGATTTGAGCAAAACTTAGAAGACATGCTAGAATCTGTCACACGACGAATGATCAAGAGCGAGTTGGAAGACTTTGAACTGGTAAATCACATTTTCAGTTTGGCTCAGTGGAAGAAGACACTGAGTTCTTCTCAGCTTTTGGGAAGATTTTTCGCTTGTTTCCTTTACCTCTTAGGACAAGTCGGCAGATTTTTCTCTGTCTTCTGGTGTTGGTGTAAAGAATAACATCTATGCCATCCAGGTGATGGGAATTTGTGAGGTCCTGATTGAGTACAATTTCAACGTTGGAAATTTCAGGTAAAAAATCAAATCTTACCCTCCCTCACTAGCTGTGCTGTCCTGTGCCTGGCTCTTTGGAGGACAGGCTCGTTGCAAGCACAGGATTATAATGCTGGCACAGACTCAGAATGATATCTGAGTGTGCCTGCCCTGTGGCACAGACACTCACAGAACCTTGGGGAGTGTCTTCCTTTTGAATGTTGTGTGCTGTGGGAGAGGTGATAAGACATTTTGTAGAAGAGCAGGTCAAGGAGGAGTGGATGAGGTATATCCTGTCAGGAAGATGGGGAGGTGTCATATGTCAAGGCTTTATCGTTTAGAAAGTGTCACTGTAAGTTGGCAACTGAAGTTTCTCAGTTTAAGACTGGAATTTCTCCATTAATGCTCTCTAATACTTTATTGCAGTAAGAACAAGTTTGAGGATGTTCTGGGCTTGTTTACATGTTACAACAAGCTCTCTGAAATCCTGAAGGAGAAAGCTGGAAAGAACAAATCTACCTTGGGCAACAAAACTGCACGGAGCTTCCTGTCCATGAGTTTTGTGTCTACTCTGCTTACAGCTCTATTCAGGTGAGAAGATGTCACATCTGAAGTAGCTCTAAAGCCTATTCTTAAGCTGCTTTTGTGGTGTCTGCATGCTGGCTGTCCTGTGCATTGCATACACAATACAGGCCTTTCTATTCCTGTATAAACATGCATGGTAACACCACTTGTTGTATGGAGAGCATCATGACAGGAACCATAGCTGTGCAACTCTTTGTCTAGACAAACCAGCTTTCCTGGATCTTGCTTATGACTTGCAAGACCTCAGAGCGTCTCTGCTCTTCCAGCCCTTATCTGTTCCCCAGACAACAAACTCCAGTGTTTGAGTTCCAGCCTTCTATGGATCAGAGCCAGACATTGATCCACACCACATCTGTCTGTGTATTTGGAAAGCCTGATGGAATCTCCTGAGTGTTCACTACAAGCTACCAAAACAAAGGATCTTTCCCACCCTGAATGCAGCTAGTGATTTCATTTGTAAATGCATGTTTAGATTTCAAACCTTGTAGGCCACCCTTGTGCTTTTTCAGTGCCTCCTCCATTCTCTGACAGTGCCCTTGATTCTTCAGGGATGATGCCCAGAGCCATGAGGAGAGCCTGGCAGTTCTGCGCTCCAGCACCGAGTTCCTGCGCTACGCTGTCAGCGTGGCTCTGCAGAAGGTGCAGCAGCTGGAGGAGACAGGACAAACTGATGGACCAGATGGACAAAATCTGGAGAAGATGTTTCAGAATCTCTGCAAAATCACACGGTGAGTCGCTGTGGCACGTGAAGACGTTGGCCCTAAAAAAGCAGCAATGGATTCTGGGGATTTTTGATTCTCAGGTCAGGTTTTGAAAGAAGAATGCAGAATGTAACTGTTTCAAGCAGTTATTATTACTGGGCTGAGATCATTGCCTTTCTTTGCTCCTGAGAAATCAAGTGGAGGCACTACTGTTTCTGTGCCAGAGTGAGTGATAGAGCTCTAATAACAGTACTTGGCCTGGAAGAACCAAATGCCATCAAACTCTCATTTTCAGCCTCTTTCTGACTTGTGGTTCATCACTCATTGTCACAGAGGTAGGATGGTTACGGGGTGGATTCTTGAGGCCTCTGGGATGCAGTGAAGTTAAAATTCACTTCTAGCTGCAGTATAAAACACATATAAGAGGGACACAAGCTTTAGAAAACATTCGGTTAGGACTTCTGCAAGACGCTTGGAGACATTCATGCATCTAATCCTTTGGAAATCCAAGCATGTTAAGCATCAAAGTGTCTTTTGGGATCTAGGTCATATCTGCATGGGGTCTTTTCAGATCCCAGTCAGCAGAGAGCACAAAATGCAAATTAGCCCTGCCATGAATAATGCCCGTTTTGTGTCTTGCCCCAAATAATACAGGCTATTTTTGTTGCAGTCATTAGGACTACATGTGAGCTACATGTTTTGTGTGGTTGGACATTGAATGGAATAAGATCATCTGTGTAGGCAACAGAACTAATGAGAAGAAAGGAGAGGGAACAAAAAAGGGAAGAAGTGGGCTTAGGAGAGCTGGAAAAAGATGTTTGTCTACAAATAGAAGTTCCCTTTGGGCCAAACAACTTTGCTTTCTTCAAAGCTTTTCACTTTGCTTTGCCTGCCTTTACCTTTCTGACTTTATTTATACAGAGCCCTGTAGACATGCCTGACATTTCACAGATTCAAACTGCCAAGAACAAAGCTTTTTTTGTCACTGGCATATTTGACACCAGTGGTCAGTGTCTGGGTAGTTTGCAGCAGAAGGAAAGGTGGAAGAAATGAGTCTATAAAGATGGACTTGAAATGGGATTGGAAGGTCCCATGGCACCTGGGAAAAATTAAATTATTTAGCTGTGCAAGAAGAATGCAGTGGCTGTTTTGCTGACATTGAAACAAGATCTTAAAAATGGGTCTCTTCTCCCTTCACTTTCCTATAGGAAAGAGACCTTCAAATTGAGTTATATTAAAAACACAATCCTGAGAGCAGAATGTGATTAGCCCTGTTCTCGTTCTTGCACTGTGCAGCCAGCTTTACTGGAGCATGTGATGTTAACTCATCTCCCATCCCCTAGGGTTCTGCTCTGGAGGTACACTTCAATTCCCACTGTCGTTGAAGAGTCAGGGAAGAAGAAGGGCAAAAGCATTTCACTTCTGTGCCTGGAAGGTTTGCTGCGGATCTTCAACACGGTGCAGCAGCTGTACCCTGCCAGGATACCCCAGTTTCTGCAAGCCCTGGGTAGGCACATGGTACAGTTCTGCTCTGGTTTCCAGGCTTTGTGTTCCAGCCCGTCAGTGGGCACTTAGGGACCTAGTGCCCTTGATTCATAAGTAAAGAGAGGGGTCTGGTCCTTGTCTCTCGGTAACAAGGTGGGCTTAGTAGGGTTGATTTTTGTGGCAGAGACAAGTTCCAGAGGTATCTTCACCTGCTTCTATGTAGCATCTCTCCATCTGCCAGCAGGGGATAGTTTGGGTCTGATATAGCACTCATCTAGTTGAAGTTTGCCTTTAACACATTTTTGTACTCGCCATGGTTTTGCAGTCTGTATTCCTTCTCTAGCTGTGAGCAGTTGCAGTCATTCCCACTTTTGGAAGGAAATCCTGTATTCTGCTCTTGGCATTTAGCTTTTTTTTTTTTCTGCATCTCTCTCTCTGTGCCAGATATTACTGGTGGTGACGCAGAAGAACCGGATATTAATGTCACGGAGAAAGCTGCCTTCCAGATCCGACAGTTTCAGGTAAGTACCACTGTGTGCTGCAAGTGTTCCAAAGCACTGGTAATGCTGGCAGGAAACACTGCTAGCTCTTTGTTACTTGACCACAGGACTGTGGTAGCCACTGGGGCATTGATTCTGTGGCAGTTCAGGAAAGTTTCTGATCCCTAAGGAAAGCTTCTTCAGGGCGCTGTGCAGAGCTGGATTGAAGTGCACTTGTATTTACAGGGCTATTATGTCCTTCAGTGCAGCATAAACTTACCTGAGTATTGTAAAAGTCACACTGAATTCTATCTGGGCCTCTGTGTAAGCACTCGTTAACAAAAACAGCACTCACTCTTCAGAAGAGTCCTCTTTTTGTTTTCTTTGTCATTCTCCTTCTTGCCAATTCCTTTATTTGCTGCAGTTTCTGGTTATTTGCTTCTTAAAATGGCCCTGCAACAAGCATGCACATTCTTTCCTTCCCATGATCAGAGGTCCCTGGTGAACCAGTTCAGCAGTACTGAAGATGACTTCAACTCCAAGGAAACACAGTCACTCATCACAGTTCTTTCCACTTTGTCCAAACTCCTGGATCCAGCCTCTCAGCAGGTACCTCGCAACCTCATTGGGCTGGCGTGGGATGTGGGTGGTAGCCATAGGTGTGGGAAGAAGATTATCAGACTGAGTTGGTATCTGAGGGCTTTGACATATGTGCTTGTCCTGCAGACCACACCATGTCAGGGTGACAGTTTTGTTACATTATCAAGCACACTTCTGTCAAGTGCCTGCAAGGACCATTAAGAAGTAGTTGTCTTCCCACCCCACTCCTGTATGTTCTGATCCTGCCTTTGGGCACCTGGAGTTGGAATGACTTGTTCACCTGAGCAGGACTCCTAACAGCCTGGATGTGGGATGGCTTCCACATGGGAATAGACCCAAAAAAGGACAGCAGACTTATGACCAGTCCAAACTGGCTGAGTGCCTAATTCCTTCCACACAAGGAGGCATTTTAAAGTGCACTAGAGGTGCCTCATTTTTATAAGCTGGGGACTGCACTCAAAGTGTGCCAAAAGTCTGGAGTCCTCATTTACCTTAAATTAAATGGAACTGTTACTCTGTCCAAAGGAATGTACAGCCATTCCCCTGTCCTGGATCTCACCTTTTCACTTGTTAGTAGATTAAGTGTCCTTGTGGAACTTAAGTGACCATGGCTGGGTGCCTTGCTGCCAGAAGGCAACTCTGCTGGTCTCCCTTGGTTGATTTTCTTTCTTTTGGTTTTTGTTTGTTGTTTGTTGGTTTTAATTGTTAGATTTATGCTTTGAATTCTGTTTCAAAGCCATAATATCTTTTCTCCCTTTGTGCAGTTCCTTCAGTTCCTGACTTGGACAGTCAAAATTTGCAAAGAAAATGCTCTTGGTAAGTAAGCTTTGGAGAGCATGTTTAGACATGATGTACCAGGTCTGCTATGAGTCCGTTCAGATGCTCTGCTGTTGTCTGTCCTGTTTTTACCTCTTTGTTGCAGATATATTCAGGTCTTGTTTTGTGACAGATTGCTATGACACTGTTGTTATTAGCACAAGTATTATAGAGAAACTCCATCTCTACAAACATTAGCACTGTGGAATAAAGACAAGCCCCTTACTTGACTTTTCTCCCTTGTTTATTAGCCCCTCTGTTGCTCGCACCTGGATTTGTACTCTGGAAAGATATTACTTTACCCAGAGTTTGTTTCATGCTTCCTCAATTCTTCATCACCTCCCTATGAGCTGAGGGTTCCAGTGTGCAGGTTTCCACACTGCCCCTTCCAGTATGACATCCAGTGCCCAACCTTACAAACTCTGCTTTTGGAATTGCAGTGTTTTGATAGGATTTCCACCCACTGCATTATCGTTTCTGGGAATGCAGGCTGTTAAATCCATACTGAATCAGAGACTTTCCCTCACTGGATATCTGATACTCCTAAAGATCTGGGGGAGCTCTGCACCTGTGTTGTTTCTTTTCCTCTCCCCACAGAGGATACCACTTGCTGCAAGGGTTTGCTGTCTCTGCTCTTCAATCTGCATGTTCTGTACAAGAGTCCTGTCAGTCTGCTGCGTGAACTCGCGCAGGACATTCACGCTTGCCTGGGAGACATAGATCAGGTATGATGCAGAACCAGCCCAACTCTTCCTCACTTAGTGCTGTCAGGGCAGCACTTGTGCAAATTATATGGCAGGTACTAAAGTTTTACTCGCCAGAATTCGTTTTCTCTCCTCTGACCAGGATGTAGAAGTGGAGAGTCGATCCCATTTTGCCATAGTGAATGCCAAGACTGCAGCTCCTACTGTCTGTGTGAGTCAAAATACTTCGTGTGGAGCAACCTGTAGTGTCCAGGAATACTCTGCTACAAGTGGCTCTAGATTCCTGTTGTGCCAAACTCCTCCCAAAAAAACTGTTTTGTTATTGGTGTTTCTGTCTTAGCTGCTGGTTCTGGGTCAGACGGATAAAGTCCTTGAAGAGGTGGATTGGCTTATCAAGAAACTCAGCAGTCTGGGATCAGACACATCAGGTAATAAAAGTGCCCCACTTCTTACTGTTACACCTTTGTCAAAAACAGATTTAGATAGAGAGCAAAAAGATATTTTGGGATTTTGAGGTAGCATCATCTGAAGGCAGGTTAAACTCTCCTTTGAGCTGGTTTCACAGGAATAATGCAAGACAGAGTGTTGTCACAAAATCCCTCCCATGATTGTTTTCCCTGTGCCCACTGGTGCTTTGTGCACCAGACACAAAGGTGGTCTTCTGTGCTTCCCACCTGCATAACTGGATTCATAAGACACATGTTCACCAGGTGTTCATCTCTTTCTTCTAGAAGACTCTTCTCAGGCATCAAACCAAACACAGGCTCTGGAGAAAGGTGTAATTCTGCAGCTGGGAACTCTGCTGACAGTTTATCATGAGCTGGTACAGACAGCACTCCCTGCAGGGAGCTGTGTGGACACGCTGCTGAGAAGCCTCAGCAAGACATACGCAATTCTCACCTCCCTCATCAAACATGTGAGTGCTGCTCTGCTGACAGGGGGCTGGCTGGGATCTAAAAACGTTTTCCCCATTTGCTACAGCAAGCTCACAGTGACCCCTGCAGCAGCTATGCTCAGGACTGGGGTGTTGATCTCTTGCAGGATTTCTTACTCTGTTGGCCTTCATGCTCTCAATCTCGTGATCTTTCTGGGCAGTGATAGGTGTAGCAGTGGAGATAAAGGAAAGCTGCTCTCCAGCTGAATTTGGCTGTGCATGGCTTGGAATGGCTTTTCCCAGGATATCTTGTAGGTTTCTCTGTTTACAGCTCTGTGCCACAGTGAATAGCACTAGTGGTGTTGCCACAGTTCTCAGCAGTCCTGCTCTTGCCACTCATTCCCATCTAAAGCTTGAAGCATCAGACCTGGGGCAACTGGGCCATGGAAACAGGCCAGTAGAGCTGGTTTGAGGCAAGGATGTGAATACCCAGAGCTCTCTCACAGCCCTGGAGTGCAGACATGGCACTGGGGATACAGCAAGCCACTGGGAGCATAGTTCTTGCAAATCCTGCCCTCTACACTGTGCCCTTGGGTGAGCTGCTTTGAGCCCTGCATGGAATTACAGGTTGCAGGATAAGGAGGATTGTACCTAGAAGAAACTCTCTCCTGTTTTCCTTGCAGTATATCCAAGCTTCCCGCAGCACCTCCAACACGATTCCAGGAAGGCTGGAAAAGCTGGTGAGTGTGAGCAAACTGCTGGAGGAAACAGCTCCTTGCCTTGAGTTAGGAGTGACACCAACCTCTGCTTCTTTGCAGGTGAAGCTCTCAGGTTCCCATTTGACCCCACAGTGTTACTCATTCATTACCTATGTACAGGTAAGGCCTAAATTAACTGGCAAAATCCCAGTCAGGCTGTCTCATGCTGAGTGGTGTATCACCTGCAGTACATGGGCACCTTTGGGAAATATTAATCTTCTTGACAGGACTTGAATTTCTTACTAGTTGAAGCTTTTACTGTGTCAAATAATAGTATAAGACATCTCAGCACCATTGGGACTGAGCATGCTGATTTTTTTGCTTGAGCAGGGAAGGAAGAATGTTGAGGGAGCTGTTTGGTTTTGGTTTTTTTTCAACCCCTCTGTTCATGTGTGGTTTTTTGGATAAGATGAATACTGCTGTTAACCACAATGGCAAATAGAGGTCAACAACACTGCAGTCATCACAGTGTAAAGTGAGGTGGGTGCCAAAGACTGCAATGCTGGTGATGGGATTTAGCTGCTTGGAGAGGAACTGGGTGCTGGAGTGAGGACTGCAGGAATTGTACAGCAGGCATGGCATACTGGGGAAGGTGTAGTGGTGTGCAGAGCTACCCCTCCTAGGGACTTCTCACACAGACATATTTCTGAATATATAAATTATGAAATTAGGGGCTTTTGTCCTTTTTTTGAGATTACCCCAATTCCATCCTTCTTGTATCCCTACTTTTCTGTCATCCAGCTGGTAAAGCTGTCAGCTGGCCAGAGCAAAGACTACTTGGTTGGCCTTTCTTCTCTGCTTACCTTCTAATGGCACATATTTTGGCATTCTCCTTCAGAACATCCACAGTGAGAGCTTAAGCTTTGCAGAAGAGAAGAAAAAGAAGAAGAAAGATGATGAAACTGCTGCAGTCTCCACAGTCATGGTAAGATTGACTCACTCTCGATTAGAACCTCTGCTGTATTTGAACTTGGTTGGTATCTTATGTAAAGGTTTCTCTTACCTTTCTCTTACCTGGTGGTTTCTCATGTATCACCAATGACAATTGTCATTTGGGCCTTTAAGTAAAAATCAAATTTAAAGTCTAAAAAAACCCAAACAAGCAAAGAAACGAGCAACAACAAAAAAGAAACATTCACTGAATGCAGCCTAAAAGCTCACAGACATGAAACTAATGTCAAGTCTGGGTAGCCTTGTCTGATGTTTTATCATGTGGAGTAAGCTACAAAGTAACAGAAAGGGGCTAATTTATTGGAACCAGTTCTTCACTGTTTAAGTGTTTCTTAATTCTATCAGTACATTTAAAGATAAAGTAGTGGATTCCTCTAAAGTAAGGCAGTTGAAAGTAACTGGATGATTTGGCTGGAAGCAAGTGAGCAGGCTGGCATGTTCCTGGTCTTTTATGTCCTTTGTTTGTGCTCCCACCCAGCCAGCATTTTCTCTGTCTTGTCGGTTGTCCCAGACATTCCTGTGATGTTAAGGGTTTAAAAGCCACAAGCATGATCTTCCTAGCAGTTCTCTGAGTGTAAGGAAATGGGCTGAAATGCTGCTCTCCTTTTACCACTCCGTCATTGTGGGAACAAACATCAGTGGTGGTAAATAAACAGGACAAAAGTGTTGAAGCAGCAATGTCTCAGTTGCCTGGAAGGTGTATGGCAGCTCGTGATGGTTTTGCAGAGCTGGGGCAGAGGACCTTCTGCTGTGATGGCTGCCAGGCATGCCAGGGCTGTGGGCTGCCCATAGAGCACACACCAGTACATGGAAGAGCCTTTAAAATTTAAATTTAATTAATTTAAAAATTAATTAATTAATTTAAAACCAGTAACAAAGCTGGCAAGGCTTGATGGGGCAGGACTGATAGGGACCAAGGCTTGCTGAAAACACTTTCCTACACTGGGAGTGCTGCAGTCTGCATGTCATGCTGCAGCACTGTTGTTTACTTCCCAATCTGACCTATCATGCTCCTTTCTGCATTTCAGGCTAAGGTGCTTCGGGAGACCAAGCCCATCCCAAACCTGATCTTTGCAATAGAGCAGTATGAGAAGTTCCTTATCCATCTCTCCAAGAAGTCAAAGGTAATGTAAAGCAGAGCTCTTCTGGGACCTGAAGTCAGTGGAACAGTGGGGTCAGTGGTAGAGGGCTACTGCCAGTCCACCTGTTAAGAGTATCTATTAATGCTCAGATTAGGAAGGTGGAAGGACCTTGCAGCTCTTTCAGCCTTTGCTTAAGCTCCTGGCCCAACACTGCTGAACTGATGTCACACTGATACCAGCAGGTGTCAGTGGCAGTACTGCCTGTGACCTAACATCATATGGTTTCTGGTTGAGCAGAAACTTAAGACACTTAATGGCAACTTTCTTCTCCGTGGTCTTTTTCATAAGCAGGAGAGATACAAGAGAGTAACTGGTAGTCACTTGGCTTTTAGGAAAACATAAATGGGCCCCTGCATTGCACGGGGGCAGGTGCTTTTGCTCCTGCCTTTTGCTTCAATTTGGTATTATTACTGTGATCAGCTCAGTCCTACTGCTGTACAAAGGACTAGGCAGGGTAGAAAAATAAACTAAGATGCTAATGGCATAATGCCCTCTCCCCACCCTGGTTCCACGGTGGTTGCTGCAGGTGAACTTGATGCAGTACATGAAGCTGAGCACCTCCCGGGACTTCCGCATCAACGCCTCCCTGCTGGACAGTGTCCTGCAGGAGCGCAGCACCGAGGATGCTGAAAATGAGCCAGACAATGACCAGGTCAGAACTCATTTTGCTGCTTTTTCACCCACAGGTTTCCCTCTCTTTTGAACCAACTGTATTTGTGAGCTGTGCAGGTGTATGTGAAATGAGGGCAGTTTGTCTTCTCTGGGTAAAGCTGACAGGAAGGAGCAACCAGCTGGTCTGGCCAACAGCTCCTGTCCTCCAGCCCCTGCTTTGAGTCACCTTCATTTCCATTCACCAAGGGTCTGGGTCTCTGGGCTTAGGGAAGTGAGACTGCTCTCAGGGCCTTGTTTGCTTCAGCAAGCAGAGATCTATCAGTTACTTCTGAGGACCTACTGGCTGGCCAGGATCAGACCTTTGCAGCATGAGGCAAAGTGGGTTTGCATTTAGGTTAACTTTTGTAGAAAAACAACTGCAGAGCAAACCTGTAAGACATCATTCTCCTCAGACCCATCTCTTCTACTAGACAGTGCTGGTGAAGGTAGAACAAACAAACAATTTACCTTGCTGATTGTCCAGGTTTTTATTGGTGCTTCTGTCCATATTTTCCTGAGTGTTTCAACAAGCCAAACCCCAGCACAGACAGTTCCTGGCCTGTGCCACTGATAACCTGTAGTCTGTTCCAGTATGAATTTGGGGGGGGGGGGGGGGGGGGCCACAAAGAAA